TTAAAATCTAATATAAAAATCAAAATGCTGTCAAAATTAGAGATAGATTCTATATGCATGCATCCACATGCAGTCATATATATACACATACATAAGTATTTTTAAATAAAACTTAAACTAAAATCAAATTCATAGCTACGTGTCTGATTTCCTTTCTCATCTGAAAGGAAAAGAACGTACCTCCACAACAAGTCTGTGTTTTTTATCACTAAAGTCCCTTTGACAATCTTGAGTAGTAGTTGCCAAAGGTTTAAAATTGGGAATGATTAATTTTGTAGGATGATATTTTGAGCCAAATATTGGGAATAAATAATTAGCTTTTGTAAAAAATAAAAATATGCTGAACTATGTGAACCCACCTTCCTCGGTACATTGTTTATCTTTTTAAATTATGGTCTTTTCTACAGCCTGTGACACTTCTTACTTTCTCTGCTGATCAGCTAGGGCGTAGTAATGATGAAAGCACATTTCAGGCACAACAGCAATACAAAGAATTACTGTCACGCTTGGACCATGCCACGCTGGGTGGAAGCGCACACCCAGGGATGCGTGCAACCGACAGCTTGTGAGCAGAAATCCTTCTAGAAAGCCAGCTCGACTTCTTCAGTGATGATCCGACATTCACCTGTGCCACTCCAAAAAGGACCAGAAAATTCAAATACCTTTGTCATGGTTTGGGCCAGGCTGGCCACTGAAACGAATGACAGATGCTCTCCCCCAACTCCTGGAGAGACAGCTACTGCCCCAGTATACTTCCTGTTGGATATAAAAATGGAAAAGTAACAGAAATTAATTGAATTATGTAGGATTATGTTCTGTTCAGCTGCTCTGTCCATAGCCATCAGACAGTGCCAGGCATCGCTCATTAACCAATACCTGAATTTAAATCACTAGAATGCTACTATACAAAAAATATTAGAGTGATTTGCTAGTTGTGTTCTTTGTGAGCTAGAAAGGATCCCAGGGAGTGGGCAGTATAAATGGAAGTGTACACAGCTGCAGTGATGCCCATCTCCCAGACAAAAGAGTCAGGCAGTGATGTGCCAGGGCTCTGATTCCACTACCAGATTTTGAGGGCTTTATGAGACTAAGCTACTTCTCCATTTATTTGTTATTGTCAGTATTTCAATGTTACTGATATTGGCATGGTCTGCTACACCTTATGCGAGAACCTAGAGCAGTGTTTAGAGAGACCACCCGACATAAAAACACTGTACATGTGGCTGGTTCCTGAGCTTTCTAGCTGGCGGGGTGGAAGGTGCTGGTGGGAGGGGTGTTTGTTCCTTCCAAGGGTTACTGCATGGGTGGAGAGGACTTCCTCCAGCGAGCTGCAGCCCCAGGCTTGGTGCTGGCATTGCTGCTGCTGCACTGAGCGAAGCATGATTGTACCTGGAGCTACAAAATTCAGTGTGGGGATGGAAACCCCACAAAACCCAAAGTCAGAGTTGCCCCTGCATGCATGAGTTCTCTAAGTGTGCGCATGTTCCTTCCAAGGGTTACTGCATGGGTGGAGAGGACTTCCTCCAGCGAGCTGCAGCCCCAGGCTTGGTGCTGGCATTGCTGCTGCTGCACTGAGCGAAGCATGATTGTACCTGGAGCTACAAAATTCAGTGTGGGGATGGAAACCCCACAAAACCCAAAGTCAGAGTTGCCCCTGCATGCATGAGTTCTCTAAGTGTGCGCATGAATACACAGGTACATGCAGGCTGGAAAACCATACAAAATTGTAAAACCCATTTATGAGGTCTGATGCAATCTACAGTTGTGCCAATGGACAGAAGATTTAAAAATAAAACACGGTTGGCAAGTTCCAGTTCCTCCCTGCCAACTTGGAAGGGAGCAGGGTGATCAGAGTAAAGTAATTAAACATTTTTAGCCTTCATTTTCCATGTTATTGTCTTCACTTTATTGCTCAGTGTCAAGCTAGCCTAAATATTGCTTCAAAACCAGAGCTCTGAGGTCCTCCCCGCCTTGCGCTCACACTGAGGGTTCTCAGCCACAGTCTCCAGCCACCATTCGTGACTAATCATGACCCATGAGGTCTGATGCAATCTACAGTTGTGCCAATGGACAGAAGATTTAAAAATAAAACACGGTTGGCAAGTTCCAGTTCCTCCCTGCCAACTTGGAAGGGAGCAGGGTGATCAGAGTAAAGTAATTAAACATTTTTAGCCTTCATTTTCCATGTTATTGTCTTCACTTTATTGCTCAGTGTCAAGCTAGCCTAAATATTGCTTCAAAACCAGAGCTCTGAGGTCCTCCCCGCCTTGCGCTCACACTGAGGGTTCTCAGCCACAGTCTCCAGCCACCATTCGTGACTAATCATGACCTGGCACAACTACCATTAAACAGAACAAGGCACAAATCTGGTCAGTAGAAAAGACTGCGCCGGAGCCTTTAGCTCAGCAATAAGACGGTTTTGAGATTCCTCCTTGTACAGCCCATTGTAATGGGTTGTGTGATTAACAGGCACCACTGCCAATGGAGTCAGACACCAGATCACAACACTTCCCTGCTCTTGCCAAGCAACAAATTTAGGGCCCAATTCATTTAGAGCACAGCCAGTTTCCTTGCTACAGAAGCTGGCCGTGATTTTAACTGAAATAAGTCCTTTGCTTTCAGAATGCAGATGAGAGTTCAAGACAACCTAATTAAAAACGTTCATGGTTTGTTTTTTTTCAAATTGGTGTTTGCTTCTGCTTGACATGATTTAACGTCAGGTAACTCTGAGCATCAGAGCTCTGGTAGACGTACAGCTGCAGCAAAGGATTCTTCATCCAATACACTTACTGTACCTACTCCTACATGAAATTCACTTCTTTTTTTTTTGTGTAATTCTACAAATGTAAATCACTTCTTCTAAGATCATGTTCCTTCCCTATTATGCTGGTACTTTCTTAAATATGCACATTGGCTTCCCAGCATAGTAATAAAATCACCTCTTCTTATAGTCAGTTCATTGGGGCATCATGAGCCTGGCACAAAGAGACTGCAAGCGGAATATGGGCAACTCATAAGTACAAAGCAATTATTCATTGGCCAGTGCACATAAAAGACCACTAGTATTTAGTGGCAGATCAGCAGTCCCACCACTCTCTGCAGCTCTTACCTTTCTTATCTCTCCACAGACGGTCGGTCCCACAGCTCTGTCCCAGCAGCCTGAGTCAACGTTATGGGTGCTTCTTGCTTGGATGCCATTTTATTCCACTCAAACCTCATTCCAGATTACTTCCCTGATCCTTCTGACAGGGCTTTCTGTTTTTCTCCCCCATTATGGAGTTCTGAAAGAAGTTTCCTTCAAAATTATCAAATATCTTCCTTCAAAATTTCTCCAGTTTTGTAATAACACTTGCTATACAGAGTGGCCACCAACTGTGGTGTTTCAGATGTCTGGTATCAACTTGTGATCTACTATTCATAAACCCTTGCAACAGAAACATTGTTTGGCACGTTTCTCACTGTAGGGTTACAATGACCTGTCAGTAGGTAAAGGATATTATTCTGGACTATTTTCCCTGTGAGCGAGCAGAATTTTAGCCAAGAAAATAAGTTTTCTTCTCCTTTAGTTCTAACCCCTATTAATCACTTATCAAGCCTAAGGAATTTTTTTCATATTTAGAACGGCTCACTAACAGTTAACAGATTCAAAAAGCAGTTTGCATCGTTTGGATCTACATATTATTTATGTGTATTAATGTCAGTGTAAGAGAGTGCTGACAGTAATATTAACTTCAAAATACTAATTTCAGCATTTCAAAATGAAATATTAAAAATGTACATACTTCATTTTTTATTAAAGAAGAGTTCAACATTTTATGGTTTGGATTTCAACAGAAATAAAGGAATTATCTGGTTTTTTAACATATATTGTGCTAAAAATATTCCATGTATGTATGTATTTAGGTTAATAGATGACAATGAAATAAATTAAAATTAAAACACTACTGGTTTGTGATTTCATTGCTGTGTGAAGAGCTGATGAAATTAACTGTTGTGTACCATGCCACTTTGCCTGCATAATGTTATAACTGCTTTATGGAGGAAAGTTGAGAATCTCATTACTTGATCTAGATTTATGATGGAACTTGCAAATCTATTTGCTTTCAATAAATCTCACAGAGATTGACCAGCATGTTTTTTCAAATTTTGATAGACGTCTTCTTTTAATGGCACCTAATTACGAAACAGCCAGTACAATACACTTCTAAGATCAAAATTCAGTCTAGAAAGAGTAATAACTGCCAGATTTAACTCATACATTTCTTTTATGGAGATCAGAAATAGCACTTCTCTTTTCTGACATTCATATAAGAAAAGCTACTCAAAACAGATCAGAAAAAAATTCTGAAAAAGAATAGACCAGCATGTTTTTTCAAATTTTGATAGACATCTTCTTTTAATGGCACCTAATTACAAAACAGCCAGTACAATACACTTCTAAAAAAATTCTGAAAAAGAATCAAATCCAGCTCATCTGCCTGCCTGAACTATTCCCAAAGCACCTGCTTCCATGGTGTCAAAGTGTGAAGAGCTCCTCTGCCTGTCTCCTGAGGAAGTCACACTCTTCCTGTTACTGGGAGGTGCAGATCAGTATGGTCTGCAAGTGAGCCAACCCTGGAACAGGCAAAAAAGTGCAGGTGACATATTACCTGTAATACAATACATTGCATTCAATATTCCATATTCTGTGGATCAACCTATTTTACTTTTTATTTTTTATTTCCTAAAAATCTTTTTCCTCCATTTGTTTCCCAGTATGAAGGTGGTGTTGGAGCATACCCCCGTTCCTCACTGCAGCCCTTAGCTCTATTAATGGGATTGGTGCACAAAAATCAAAGCTGTGAAATTGCCTTTAGAATTTAACCTTTTTCCAAGTAAATCCTCAGTTTTAGCAATACTTAGGATGCCAGAAATAGACAAAATTCCAGACTGGTAAAGCAGGTAGATATTGTCTTACAAATTTATTTCAGCAAGTGCCCAATAAAGCAGCGTTAAGACAAAGTTAAATACATTTGAGGCTTCTACATAAAGTTGTTGAAATAACAGCATTTGAAATGCACTGCAGTGGCATATGTTTAAAATTCCTTATTGCACCAGTTCACAGGGAAAATGGATCAGTTCAGTCACTGACAAGTGTTCCTGCAAGGGGGAAGCCTAATTCAGATGTTCCAATTTCTTTATTCAGATGTTACAGTCACGTCTATCCTGGTTCACACGGACTGAATAATCAGAACTCATAGAGTACTCCAGGTGAATATACAAGTAATGAAGAGTGAATGAAGAGTGAGATGGTTTAAAATACAAAAAAAAAAAAAAGAAATAAACACAGACATCTTTGACTGAACAACTTCTCATGAAATTTACCAGGAAAACCACTGTTTAAAGATGGTTTTACATTCATCTGAAATTCGTCAGCTGCGCCATCACATTGTACTGGATTGTCTGCACTTTTAAATTAGTTAAACTAGTGTATCTTAAGTACAGACAATGTTATGCAAGTTTAAAACTGGTTTCATCAGATTCATATTGTTAACTAAACAATTTCATCACACATCTAATTACACTGATGTATCCTTGTGCATAGATGGGACCTTGGCATTTTGGGGACTTTGTTCCCATCCCCTATAAGTTAGTTATCTGTCTCCTGTCTGACATCTATTTTGCCCAGTCTCGGGTTCAGGAAACAATTTCTTTATTATTTTGTGGTGGGTTGACCTTGGCCTGTTGCCAGTTGCCCACCAAGGCACTCTACCATGCCTGCTCCTCAACAGTACAGAGGAGAAAATGCAATGAAGAACTCACAGGTCGAGACAAGGACAGGGAGATCACTTACCAATTACTGTCACAGGGAAAACGGACTGGACTTTGGAAAAAAATAATTTAATTTATTGCAAGTTAAGCAGAGTAGATTAATGAGAAATAAGAACAAATTGAAAAAAATCCACCTTCTCCCCACTCTTCCTTTATTCCCAGACTCAACTTCACTCCCAACTCTTCTACCTCCTTAAACGATGCAGTGGGATGAGAAATTGGATCAGTCGCAGTCAGTTTGTAACGCTTCATCTCTGTTCCTCTTTCCTCCTCACACACCTCTCCTGCTCCATCATGGGGTCTCATCCGTGGGATACAGTCCTTCACAAACTTGTTTCCTTCCCACGGGGCTGTAGTTCTTCCAAAATGGCTCTGGCACGGATCATTTCCACTGGGTGCTGTCCTTCAGGAACAGACTGCCCCAGCGAGGGTCCCCCACTGGGTCACAGGTCTGCCAGTAAACTTGCTCCTGTTTGAGCTTCTCTCCATGGGCTGCAGATCCTGCCAGAGGTTCCAGCATGGGCTCTTCATGAGTCTCAGCTTTGTTTAGGACACATTCACCTGCTCCAGCATGGGGTCCTTTACATATTGCAGGTGGATCTGCTCCACAATGGATCCCCATGGTCTGCAAGGAATAATCTGTGTCACCATAGTCCTCTCCACAGACAGCAGGGGAATCTCTGCTCTGGTGCCTGGAGCACCTGCTGAAGGAGGGCCTTCTTCACAAGCCTTGGTGTCTGTAGAGTTGTTTCTCTCACATTCTTCTCTCTCACCTGCTTTTGCACGGCAGTTTTTTCCTTTCTTATATATGTTATCACGGAGGTGCTTCCACTGTTACTGATTGGCTTGGCCTTGGACAATGGCAAGTCCATCGTGGATCAGCTGGATCTGGCTGTGTCTGACATAGGAGCAGCTTCTGATGTCTTCTCACAGACGCAACACCTTTAGCCCCCCACTACCAAAACCTTGCTGTATAAACCCAATGCATATTTGTCTCTTCAATTGTTTCTCCTTACATAATAAGGTTGTAGAATGTAATAAAACTGTTTAGAAACATCTAAACCGCACAAATTCATAGTCTGTAATGCCAAACAAAACTATTGTTTCATGCAGCCTAACTGCTAGTTAAAATGGTTGTATAATTTCATCCTTTGCTGTGAAAAATCACACCCAGTTCCTGGCTTAAAGTTAATTTGTTTGAAACTCAAACTTACCAGCTTTTTCACGACTTACTGTACTGAACTGTATTGAACTATTCCCAATGACTTCTGACAGCAACCAAAGGTCTCAGATTCTTCTGCAAGCATGAGGAACACTTCCCAACTTGAGGGATCTGAAGCTGTGCTGTAGCTGCCCTCCATGCCATGGATGAGATTAATCTCACTTAACTTTAACTGACTAGTGTTTAACTAACTCCTGGACAGAGGCAGGAACCTTCAGGCAGGAGTTTATCTGTCTGAGACGCCATGGGCTTTAGGTACCTTTCCTTATCTTGGTCCATAAACCAAATTGTTTTAAATCTCCTATTATATATAATATTATATATTTATTTAAGTTCATAATTTATCACAGAAGACTTCATGTCAATGTCCTATGGTGAAGGCAGAAATACTTTTAGTACATCAACAATAAGCAAGTGACAGTCTAGTCTACTTACAGTGTAAGAGAACTACACGGTATGGCAGCAGGGATGTATGCCATGCTGTATGTGGACTATGAAGGCACAGAACAGTCTCAGAACTGTCCAGAAATGCCACTGGAGATACTGCTGACTATAGAAAAACATGAGTATTTTCAGTCAACATTTTTACATTGTAAGAGTTTGGCTATAAATCTGTAAGGCCCTGGATCTCTGTTATGTATACCTTAGATGTGTCAGACCTAATGTCAGCTTGGGTCTACTGCGTGTTTGATCACTAAAACCCCTTAAGAGTATTAGGCATAATTCCACAATTCATCTAATCTGTGCTGGAGTTTAATGCAAAGCCTGTTATGTTCAAAACATCCATCTTTTTCCAGTGCTTTGCACATTAGGATGACTAATTTTAAAGTTAGCAGTTCCATCTATCATGCAGCGTAAGTAAGAAAGTTGAAATATGAAAGTGCACAGATCATTTAGAAAGGGTTTATACTGGAGGTGGTAGGAAAGAGAGAAACTTACTTTCAGACACTTTACCCTTTTACATTGCAAAGATGCCCATGGTATTCTATTTCTGTCAATTAGGCTGAAGGTTAAAGACTAAAATCAACAAAACAACTTTAATAGCTAAATGAGCAGAAGTTATGTGCTAAAGGGGTACTAGGCATTTAAATACCTTGCAGATGAGACTACGCCCACAAATGTAACAGAAAGGTTCTCCAATTCGCTGAAGTTTAGAGTTGCTTTGAAATATGTAATTTTTATTCCTCCTTTAATATCATCTATCTGCCCACTGAGAGTGGTATTAGGTGTCTCAAGACAGTCCTATTGTCCTTAGCCCTCATTATCATTTCCCGTCTTCTTCTCCATGAATTAAACAAGGTAAAATAACTGACAAAAGAACAAAATACCGTGCAGTGAAAATGCTGCTAATGCTTGTAATGGTTGTTCCCCCACCCTTGTATCTTTGCTGTGCCAGCCAGCACTCTAGTGCTCCTGGAGCTCTGGTGGGCGCTCTCTGCGGGTCTTGAACTCTTTCAGAATGGAATCAATCACACAAAGGACTTTCACAAGTTATTGATGAAAAAGGCAGACTTCTCAGAGTTTTCCCTTTATTTCCAGAAGACAACAAAACACTGAGGACTCTTTTTGACTGAGGCACCTTCATCACCCCATGAAAGGCTGTAGTGTTGGGCAAGTTGTCCAGCACTCACAGTGTGGAAAGGCGAAATATCTAGCAAAAAAAAAAAAAGTGATTAGTGCAGAAATGATATTGTTTCCATTTTTAATAGTTTTTCCAGAATCTCTTTTTTTTTTTTTGCCTTTATCTATAAAGAATTTAAATGAGCTTATTTTTCATGCACCTAATCTTCAGTAAAAAAAAAAAGTATCATGACAATTTTGAAAATATCTTGTTTGGAAGTAAGTTAACACTAGAATTCCTCGGTCTATTTAAACTTGTCACTTTCAATTGTTCATAGTGATAGATTTCCTAATGCTCACCAGGCACTCACGCATTTTATGTTTGTTGGAGTGTGCATCTTGTAATGTTCACAGCTGCACTGATTCGATCATTCCTACTTTTGCTACTGATTTGGAAAGACTTCACAATATGGGGGAGAATGGGGGGAGTGAACCGGTGGTATCAATTTTATCCAAGCTTTCTTTCAGCATTCAGAAATGTACAGAAAGCCTAATCTCACCATTTTCCTAAAAGTGATTTCAGTTTCATCATCATTCCCATGTAATTTATCAGATTTCCTTTTATTATTATAGACCATTGACTTAAAAAAAATAAAAGGAATCAAAAAAATTCAATAGCCTCCAGATAAGCATCTGGTCAAGCTATCTTTGTCTAAATAGTTAGATACCCATTTTTCGCAGAGACTGCAAAGACAAGGGCATTATCAGCCTTTGCCCCTGCCCCTTCAGTGAATTCATAATCCTTCCTATGAAGTGAAACAATTTCATCCAGAAAACGTGAGTTTCAAAACAGCCTGAGAACTAAGACACCATTGAGAGTGACTTGCTCAAATTTTTAGCCCAGAGTTTTTCAGCCTTTTTCAGTTTGTTTACCTGCATTAATTTCCTTAAGGGGGCATGGACCCCTCCAGAAATGTCGCATCTGTGCTGTTCTACAGCATATGTGGACTTGCCTTTTTATTTGCTGTTTTGGAAACCACAGGGGTCTACAGAGCAAAGGCTGAAAATCACGATCCTGGTCTAAATCAGGCATAGCAGAGATGCAAATATGCGTTTCCCTTTTTGCACAGCAATGCCTCCCTCATCAAATGTTCACGGAGGACTTAGTGCATGAGGACAAAATTGTGAATCAAATGAGCAGGAAGGAAACTGTAGCTTATGCAGCAACTGTGAGGGGAGAAAAATGTTCTCACAGTTTAATTTTCCTAAAAAATTCCAAAGGTTGTAATTTTATATGATTCACAGCAGGAAAATGTTCATATCTTTATAACACATGGATAGAAACCTGTTTATTATTCCGATCTAGTTATGATCTTGTCACATAATTTGATCTGATGAGGGCTTAGAAACTCAGATATCTCCAAGGACAAGAAAAGTATGCATCACGTTGTGATAACAACATAATTTAAGCTATTCCTGGAATTTCTTTGGATTCTCTTCTATTTTTTAATTATTTGTTTATTCTACTTACATATATGTTTGGTTTTTTTTTTTTTTTTTTTGGGGGGGGGGGCAGGGTGGAGGGAGAGAAATACAGATTTCGAACTACATCCAAAAGTGATGATGACTTCCAAAAACAGAGCAACTAAATAAAGACATCCAAGACTCATCAGCACATTTTATCAATGCAGTGTTCAGGTTCTGACTTTAAACTCAAACAAATTGAGATTTTTTCACTTAAGATGCTTATACCTGTCATTCTTTCAGCTGAAAACACACGTTATAATCTATCCTTTTTTTTTACATTGCCACACAATACGTGTAGACATATGGGTCGTATCTTGGAATGGAGCAATGAGGAAAATATTTTGACTCCATTATCAGGAATCCTGAAGGATATTGTGGTGACAGCTGTGGCTGTATTACCTATTTTCAGGGCTGTTTGTGAAGTCTTTGCCTTTTGCCATTGCACATATGGGTCCTTTCATAATGCAGGTGAAATATAAGATCACAGAGCTGTCTAAGATGCACTCACAATCACCAAAGACATTTTTTGTATGTTTTAAGTGTCCAATGTAAGAGTAAGTTTCTTTCATATACACAAACACCACTAGCAGATCTCCTACTCACTTGCAGAAAACTCAATAGAAAAAAATCCGACCAAGCACTCACATACCTCAAAAATACAAACATGCTCACAGCACTGGAACAGTAAGAATAAATAAACAAAAGGATAATGCTATCAAATGTACCATAGAATGTCATATGATGCAATATCTATATTATGCACAAGACAGTGCAAATGCACACAATAAATGAACAATTGTCAAATTAAAACCAACAGATTGCCTTCTCTTATTTAAGAAAGTTTAAGTGAAAGGAAAGAAATATATCTTAAATAAAACTATGGTGTTTAAAAAAGTAAGCTGGTTATTCCCAGGATGCTCAAACAATGCCTTTTTTCCCTCATATTCTTTTAGTGCATAAATCATTAAGAGAGTTAAATGTAAAATCACATTTAAGGTAGCAAGACTTAGTCAGGGAGTTAATAAAAAAGAAGGGCCAAGTAGTTAGCAAACAGGAGAGCAATAAAAAGGAAAGATTCATGGGGGATCTTACCTAATGAAGACAGAGAAGACCTTGGAGTACCTGGAGTAGCCGTTATTTAAAGCATTCAAGGACAGGTTGTCCTTGAGGTACAAGGTGTCAGCATTTGTCAGCGATGACTGATGGTACAAATGATTCTCCTTTCTATATAGAGTTTGCATTAGGTTGTCTCCCACAGCCCTTTGCTCTTTTTCTAGGAATCCATGCATTTGTGCTGGAAAATGACCAAAGAGCCTTCATGCCATAAGGAAAGCTGAAAAATATTTCAACAATGTTGTTCCTTTCCCATTTGTTGCTACATTGAACAAGGTATTGGAGCACCTGAGAGCCTGATTTCTCACCCACATCCAATCAGGTCTCAAGAGAAAAAAAAGTATGTCAGGCAACAAGTCATGCCCATGTGATCCCAAACCACCACCAATGAACAAGATAGGCCTGGACTGAGTTTCTAGATGCAAGTTATGTGTTGGCCTTGAGAGAGTAAACAAGGGTAGGGTGACAGGTCACAAAGTCCCTCTTCCGTGGTGGCCCTTGGACAAGATAGTGTTCCTGCACACTGTGTTCCTGGAAGAGGGGGGCACAAGGTAGGAGAAGAAATGAGCTGTTACCTTCCATTTGTATCTTTTCTATGAATAAATATAAACTCTTTCTATTTCCTCATGTTTATTTTAATTTATATTTACTTTACAAGTACTCCCCCATTTCCAACCCCATTTTCCCCAAGCATTTGAATATTTATGAAGCTATATAAACAAGAATATATGGAGAGGGAGCATCCCTTTATACAAAAGCACTGGTAGGATTGACAGAGTATTTGTACCTTTCAGTGACTGATGTTGAGAATTGCAAATATAATTTTCCCAGAGGAGCCACGTGACTTCTGAAAAACCTGCTAGTTTTATACTTCACATTTGAGGGGAAAAAAAAAAAAAATAAAAAAGGAATCAAAACCAGAATGCAGGGAGGAAAGCACTAGGTACTTTGTGAGGCTGCAGTCACTATTTGCCCTTTCCCAAGTGCTTTTCCTGTTGCAATTTGAGAAGCAGAGGCTGTACTGCCCAACATGTCACAGTGTACACAGTTACAACAATCACCATCAGTCTCAGGCTTTTTAAGATTACAGTCTCACCCATCCTTTCATGTCAGCCTTGTTAGTGATAGTCCAGCAGCCCGGCTCTGCATGGTACAGCTATGTGTGTGGCAACAAAACCCTGATTTTACTTCTTTTTTCCTTTGTGTTGCACCTTTAAATATCTACAGAGCGTCCCTGCAACTATCTTCCAGCTCTCTGCAGAGCTGTCTAATCACCCTGTAAAGAGTTCTGCTGCCATTTCAGTCCCAGACTTGCTGCTGACAGAAATTAAAGGACACAAATCGTGCACAGTCATGAGCTGCTAATTAAGTGCTGATCCAGTGGTAACGACGGGGTGAGCTCCCCTGTAGTTAGGACTCGGGGAGTTTTTGCACTGTGCTGTGTAAACTCTCTTCTTTTCCAGGGAATTCCACCACTTGGGCTCTTGCTAATAACAGTGCTGAGAATTTGGCAGGAGATTTGTTCACGCGGATGCAGTCGCAGAGACCTTGCTTCGGCGCTTCATTATTGCTGTTTTCTATAATTCAAAAATAAGTCACTCTAGACGGAACGTAAATGTTTTATTATTTGACTAAGGAAACAATGAGATGACAATCCAAGACTAATCACATTTTCAGCAACAATAACTGAATAGGCTTACTCAGCATGTACACATTTTAAAAGACAGTTTTGTAACTGCATTTTACTAGAGGGCAGTAAAACCTTCTGCTTCACTGAGCAGATCCTCTCTCCAAATATTCATTTACATCCCTGTGTGGGCTGTAACAATGCAAACTTGGATTTGAGTGCACTTTTCTCCCACCTTCATCTTCTCCCAACCATTAAAGTTTATCTGAAGAATAGCACTAGATTACATTAAGCTAGAAGCAGTATTGCTACTTGTGGACATCTTCTGTTTTCTTGCAATTGTAGTTACATTAAGTTACACATAACCCGTGTATGTGAATGCATTTATTTTTTTCTCTCACTGCTGGTGGATTGTTTGGTGATTTTGTTTGTTTTGGGGGGGTCTTTGTGCTGAAACCATTTTATGAAATTCGCTTTATTTCTGAAGGAGCCTGTTTTAAATACCATATATTAAGGACAGGCATTCTCTTTTTCTGCACCATATGATGCAGCTAAAGAAACAAGAGAGTCCCTTTTTACAAAGGCAGCTTATTGCCATTTGCATCCTACTTCTAAAACATTGGGCAACGTTGTATTATTCAAATACAGATTTTCTGATTAAGTGACTTGTAGTATGCTCCCCACACAAATGAGACATCCTCAGTTAGGCATGATAATCTTCTATTGTTAACATATTTTTCCCATTATGCAATATCCAGGGTTGCATTTCCAACATTACTACATTCATTAGCAGAAAACAAAAAAACCCACCAGTTTATTAGCAA